ACAGAAGAGTCACTGATTCATTGAAGTTACGTCGCGTCGGAGATTACACTCGCCGGATTTAAAAAATTCGCGCGCAGCATTTCTTGTTTATTTATGCATCTCATGAATAAATTAAATGCCCACCGGCTTTACGGTTGTGCTCATGCCACAGTCCTGGCGCGTTTCAACCCTTGGGGTATTTTACTATATAGGGCGTATCTACATCGAGCGTTAAAATTTGCATATAACATTAGCGCGTAGCGAAGATTGTGATAACGGAAAGAGTGGTATAAACAAGGATCAGTGATTACTTTAAATCGATACCAGGAAGAGGGGGGTAAAAGAAAAGTTATATAACAATTTATTATTTAATAATTTATTAAAATACATAAGTTTGTCCAACTCCCTGTGGTTTTATGCGTCATTCAAGATGGCGGCCCCCATGTAGTAAATATCGTATTTATTTTATTATCACGTGTGCGCCAGCTGACTGTACACGGTTACTACTAGTAGCTGTGGTACAATCTCAAATATGCTGTGTTATTGAGGGCTCCATAATATCAGTCAATAGTGATAAGATTGAGAACACCTCAAACTGATGAGATGATTGATATTGTACGAACGTTTTGCGGCATCTCAGAATTTGCCTGTTACCCGGGCCCAACTAAACCACAGTCCGGACTCTGACTGTGACTAGACAAAATATTTTTTTATTGTGATAATTTTCACCAAAAACAAAACAAACACGAAAGAACTATTAGAAAAATAAGTAAATAGCTAGGTTCAAAGGTTAAGACAATAGATTCTTTTTTAATCAGATTTGCAGAGATGGATCACCAAATTTGTAGTAATTTTACACTTGCTGAAAATGTCAATATTTGGATGGATGACGTTATAGGCTTTGCAATTTATTCAAAATTTCCGTAATTGGTAATCACTGAAAACGCTCGGTGTTACGGCCCAGGGTATGATATTAGTATCGGTCCGGTATTCGGACACCAACAACTGCCTAAATGTCACAATTGCAGACGTTTTGAGGAAATTGGTTAGATAGTTAATCAGACCATTTTTCCATAAGTAGTGAGAGTGGGTGCAAGTGGTGCAAATACAAACATGTAAATCTGTTGATATTCAGCAAATACGAATCTTATTATTGTAACATTAATTGACACACTCGCAAGCACGAAATTGCAATTTTACGTTGCACCCCAAAACGGTATGCGCACGCATACAAAACGCCGTATCATCGACTATCGGGAAAATGGTCCCAGTGTGAGAGTCATACCACAATTATCAAGGCAAGGAACGTTTAGCGACGAAGAGGGCGTCTTAATAGTCGAAGGCGTGTTAAAACACTATCCACCAACAAGAAACTACGTGGTCACCGCGTCATGGGGGAGCGATGGGATTTGATATGATAATTCCCCGTTTGTAGTTTGTAGAATCACACGCGGACCAAGATTTGAGAAAGAATTATACAATTGCCAGTCTAAGAGTACTGCACAACCAGTTAAAAAGATCGACATTCAGCTTTTAGTTGAAAAAAATGTCGTTTTCGCCTACAAATGACTTGCATTTTGCAGAAATGGCCGAAAATCATGTACTTCAATACCATATAAGAGGGGGGCAAGGGGGAGATAACTGGTACAGGTCACAGGAAATTAAAACGGCATTTTACGTTTTTACAGGAAATAAAATGAAA